CGACATATCAAATGACATAACACATAACCAAGAGCCTCAACCTTCAGAGCCTTTCTAGTCTGACCAACGAATAAGTAAGGAAAATGACTAACAAAATGCTCCTCAAGAGACAATATCAACATCTTTCCGCAACAATCAATTATTGCGCAGTTTTTAGACAACCAGTTCATACCCAAAATTAGATTAACAATGACCAGGGGTAAAACAATCCAAATATTATATTAGGGCTTGCAAGAAATGAAAGAAAAGTCACCAGCATAAAATATGAACATGAAGTATTACCTGGCAGAAAAAGTGAAGCAGAAGCGAAAAGAAGGAGACAATGGAAAAACATGAAGAAGCAGAGAGTTTTTGGAAGCAAAAACAATAGCAAGTGAAGGAAATGAAAATCTGGAAGGCTAAAGAAGAAAAGAAAATCAAACGGCTAAAACCCGCGAAATGAAAAGGCAAGGGTAAAATCGTAATATCTCATACCATACAAGACGATTGAGAGACATACTGGTAGTTTGCATTAAATACGAATGATGTGTGATGGTTTGCAGTGTATGTTAAACGAATAAAAGAACACTACCTGGAAAGAAGTTATCATTGCCTAAAAAAGAGAAGGACTCCAAAAGCTAGTCCAAAGTAATAATCCGGCACATTACACAATCAGATACACCTAAGGACGACTTATCAATACCGCCTTCGGTATCCGAGATATGAGGTTGAGAGAGCAATATTATCTCGGTTGTTTTAAATTATCTTCAGCTTACTCTAACAGCTTGGATACCCATATCGGGAAACCAAAAAGCCGAAGGCTTAACCCAGAGCCTTGAGTAGCAGAGTTATATGTTATGGGAATGGAATTAACCCATCTATACAATACGAAGATAAGGATAACCTTGAAATAATGCATCTCAATACCTTGAATACTCAAACTATTCGGCTGGAGGGCAATAACTATAGTTGTATAGAAGTATAATGAGATGTGGTTATAAATTGAAAATGAGGCAAGCTTGGAGCAGAGCTTAAAAATAATTCTGCAAAATGTTAAAGGTAGGAATGCAATATTTCAGAGTTTAATCCAAACTATGCAAACAAGGCATTCGGCTATCATAAGCCGGATGAAAATGTGATCTCAAAGACATTATGCACCCCAATAGCTCGGAGAACCAAGCTACTGGACTGAGGGGCAACTGTTATGGACCTACATAAGGCATATATATCTAAAAGCCCAACAAAGGGCAATCACATGACAGCTGCGCAAGAGAACAATTGGTCTTATGAATAAAAGGCCCAGAACTCATATACCCATAGATAAAACCCTATAAATAGTAGATAACGCTAACAAGTATGACCTAATCTCTCTTTAACTATTATGTTGTCACTGTGCACACACCACCCCTTTGGCTAACGTCGTTATAGTTGTGTACAGTGATCTGCTACCTCAGGTTATCTAATTCATAGATACTTGGAGAGAGTACTTGATCATAGATTGACCTAGTAGCCTTTGGCTAGACACTTTTGTCACTCGGACAGAATAGGTTGGACCATCTATCTTGCATAAATAAGATCCAGATCAAATTTGATTGTATTTGTGAACTTATACGTAACGTTATATATAACATAGATTGAAGGAATTGAGTAATCTAGCGATCATCACAATAGCCCAAAAGCCAGGTCATGCGATTGGGGGTGATAAAACAAACTATGTAAAACTATTACCTAATTCAAAAATGATATATCCAATTGTTTGACCCATATGGACAAATTATACACTTTTCTTTGGTATTGTTGAGAATGTAATTTCTAATTGAAGGTGGTGAATGATGCGACCCTCTAGCGACACTTCCTTTTATTTTTTGTTTAATTTTTTTCATTTAATTTAAAAATAAAAGAGTATGGACCAATGATGTAATCCAGTCAGCGTTGTGACCCCTTAAAAACACTCACAAGATCGCGTCATATGTCGTAATCGGATTGGTCCATGCCCTTTTTAGAAAAGCAGAGAAAATATATTTTACTTATACTCATTTCTCCACAATTCACACTCACTCACTTCAAATATCAAACAATTGAAATTCTTAACTAGTATATTATTATTATTATTATTATTATTAATTTATTATATAATAATTCTCAATCAATACTAATTATGTATTCTTGCTAATTTTCATATCCTTTGTGTAACATAAGGCATGAAAATTTATTATTGGAAATATTGTATAAATCTATTAATTGATTATAATTAATATACATAAAATTATTATAAATTAATTGATGAAATACTATTAAAATATATATAAGAAATTTTTTGTCAATTAATTGACAAATCCATATAATGTTTTTGAAACATATTATAATAAAAATATAATGTTTAAACATATATGGTATCAATATTGATTAATTATATTTAATATTTGAAGTGAGTGATGTAGAGAAGTGAGTATTTCTTAGTAAAGAGAAGAAAAATATTTTTTTAAAGGATTTTATAATTCTCATGTAATATGAGAGTTAAAATTTTCCTATACACCTTTTGATTTTCGTACTGATATAGGTCTCACATATAATTTTTTCTAATATATGAATCTCACGTACTTTTTATCTCTATAATATGAGATTTTAATTTTTATGTGAAATGAGAATTATAAAACTTTTTTATAAAATATGGTATGGATCACTACATTGTGCCACACGACGCAATCGAGCGAGTTTCGCTAGGGAAGGTCACGAGACTCACAACACTCTCCTAAATATGTCTAGCGATTCAATTTGGTTGGTCCATATATTTTTTAAGTTAAACAAAAAATTTAAATAAAATTAAAAAGAGATGACGTTATAGGGAACATTGCACTAACCACCGGCATTGAAAATTATAATCCCGATAGCACTAAACGATAAAAAGACTATTATTTAATGCTTTTGTTTTTTCGGCAGTTAGATAACTTATCTACATTGAGCTCAAAACGACGTCATTTTGAGGCAGAAATCATATTATTTTTGTAATTATAATTTATTTCAGGGTTATAATAGTCATTTGCATTATAATTTTTTAATTTTTCAACTCAAAATGATGTCGTTTTAGGTGCAAATGTAGATAACTTATCTACGTTCACTGTAGAAACATTAAAGCCTTATTTAATCCTAAATGGGTCGAACAACTCATAAACACAATTATACAAAACCCGCCCCAGCTCGACCTGGAATCTAATTATCGGATCAGTTTGAGTTAAATATCAGACCGGCCATATATTGAATCCGATCAAATTTTATCAAATCCGGTCAAAATCGATGATCCAATAACTCAATCAGGTCATGCATTTTTGTAATAAAAAAACAAAAACAAAACAAAATTATTTCATCTTGTCAAAAAAATGTAAAACTCATTTTAAAATTTTTTGTAATTTTATTTGTTAGTTGTATATTCTTCTATAATAACCTCAAATTTTAACTTTCAATACTGAAGCAACTTGCGAAACAATAAATTAAGAGAATGTGACATATGTCATTTCAATGTAGATGAATTTAAAAAAAATGAGTTCACAACATCTGATCGTTTATATTTCATTGAGAGTATGCTATGGAGATTCTGAGTTGTAATTTAAATTGACATAATAATAACATGCATTTTCATTTATTTGTGCTTTATGAACTTATAAAAGTGTGATTGAACTTATTTAGTGAACCTTATTTAACTTATTTTAGATACGTAGAATATAATTAAATTTATATATTAATATTTATATATATTTTTATATATCTGAGTCAACCAGCTCAACCAGTGACCTATCGGTTCGACCGGTGATCCAGTGACTCGGTACCCTAACCGGGTTGATGCCCGCATCGAGTTTAATAACACCACAATTATAGGAGTTATCCCTTGAAAAATATTATATTATTTAGGTGGATTACTTTAATCCATTCCTGAAAATGATACGAGGTGTTTGGAAATAGTTGAATAGGAGGATCTTTTATTTTCGCATAAGGAGAAATTATAAAATTTCTAGCATGTCCTCGTACTTGGCGGCAGGTCTTTTATTTGAGAAATAAAAGTATGCCTTCGCCTTCTTAATTTTTATATATAATATATAATCTCATTTTAAATTTTCAATAAGATCAATATTCTTTTCTAACCTTATATGGGAGTGATATCCTTAATCTAACTTTTTATTAAAAAAAATAATTATTCTAGACTTTTTCTATGAGCTCATAGCTTTTAGAAACAATAACTAAAAATAAGTAGCAAACTAAAGAGATAGGAGATATGTTCCTTTATTCTATGCCTACGATAAGCGAGAATAGTATTTAGAGGAATAATCTGTTTATAAATTTTTTTGAATTTTTTTTACAAATTATACTATGTTCTCTCGAGAGAACATAGTAAAACTAGTGTTCTTCTAGGAGAACATGGTGTAGTTTGTAAGAATTTGTAAACAAAAAAGTTTGTGAATATAATCTGACCTTAATATTTATATTATTCCCAACAATCTCCCTCCTACCAGGGCTCTATATCTACATATAACTCCTTTTATAAACTCTATTAATTGTCACCATGCACACATTACATGTCTTATGCTATATGCCATTGTTAATGTGCACGTACTTCTTATGGCATCTCTTCTATAAACTCTCGCATCCATACTAATTCAAGATACAAATACTAACTTTGATTAGACATTTCCAATTCTCCCGATGAATAACACGGCACTTCGAGTTTGATATGCAAATTTTTTTCAAAACCATTCGATTGTGTATTAATAGAGTAGTATGAAAAAGTTTACCTGATGTATCATGGGCCTTTACAAACTCTTTTGTTTTCAATTTATACACCGGAAAACTTTGAACAATATTTATGTTACAAAAGAATATGAAAAAAAAAAAAAAATTCTTATCATAAATATTTGAAAAAGAAATGCAATATTTTCTGAATCTTTATGTAAAGTAAGTAACTAAAAAAAATGTGACTACCATCTTTAAGTGCATCAACAAATAGAGCATAAGCATAAGCAAAAGCAAAAGCAAAAGCATAAACAATAACCACCACAGAGTCACTTACAGGAGGGGGGCCAGCACACCATTCCATGATTCTATTCACTTTCTTTCTTTCTCCACGTTGACTCTTCTCCTTGTCTGTGTTTTAATGTTTAGAACAGAATATAATAGAATTGTTCACGTGCTAACCTTGGGCTCCTTCTATTTTTATTTTTATTTTATAAGTATCCCCAACCATCTTGTTCCTATGGGTTGTTGTTTTTCGAAGTCGGAGTAGTAGCTGTGTTCGATTTTTTTTCGTCATTTTTAAGGTACCCTTTAATCTTTGGAGTGTCTTGTTAATGTTTGACGAAATGCTTAACAAGATTTTGTGTTGAAACAGATGGAGCTGACTTTAAGGGAAGAAGACGCAGCTGACTGGGTTTACAGAGGCGAAGGAGCTATTAATCTTATTCTCGCTTACACTGGATCCTCTCCTTCTTTTGTGCGTTCTTTTTTTTTTTTTTTCTCCCTTTTTTATAATTTTGTTTGTGACTAAATTGTGCTTAGAATCAGATGAACCCCAAGAAAGCAAACTTTTTTCAAGCTTAATAATTTTATTTTATTTTTTGGTTTATGTAGATTGGGAAAGTGATTCGCATACGTAAGGCTCCCAGGAATGGATCAGACATTGTGAGGAGTACCATAGCTTTGACTCCACATGAACGCCTCCTCTGGAAAGATGTTAGTGAACTTGTTTCCTCTTCAGACAAGGATATTGCAGGCCAACTATATGTTCAGCATGTTATGAAGCCCTTGCTGGGTGTCAAGTATGTTGATGCTGGGGTATGTGAATGAGTGCTGCATTGTTGCTCCTACATAATTTCCCTGTTCCAGATTTTATGTTGGAAACCCATTAACCGAAAGTGGTTATTTTTATCATCCTATGGTCATTGTCTGTCTCTGTTCTAACCAATTTTATTATTGATAAAATTGGGTTTAGTGAATTGCCCTAATTTTTTAGAATTGACGGCAACTCTTGGAATAGCGATAAGGTTGATCCTTTGTAATTGGAATGTCATGGATTCGAGCATGAGAAATAGTCTCTTTGCATAAAGCTTGTGACACTAGGTTTTGCCTTTTGTCCTAATTTTTTAGAATAAAGTGGATAATATGTTGTGTAAGAGAGTTAGTGATTGTGATCTCTGACCTGTACCTCTTTGATACTGTTTTTAGATGCACGTGCTGCTGACCAGGGAATTCCTTGAATCGGTTGAGAAGAATGTTACTAGTCAACGTCCTGCTTGGCGAGTTGATGCTGCCCTTATTGATACACATTGTGATTTTGGTCTTCTCATGTCTGATCATTCACTCTTCACTGATGGTATTGAGAAGTGTATCATTGGACTTGCTTCTACTGGTTTACCATTTTTCTGTCTTTTATTTAAATTAAGTATCTAAGTATTAGCACTGTATCATATGTTGCTGAGAAATCATCTATCTGTACTAGTATGAGAGGTTAGTATTTAACCTTGCAACTACTTACAGTACTTGCAATGCTTTACCTCCCTTTGGTTGGAATGTGAACATGCATTATTGGTAGGTGCAATGCTATATGCGAACTTTTAGCAGGAAAAAGTAATGTAGAGAGGCAAAATTACTTTGGGGGTGAAATCCAACGTGCTATTAATCATTCAAGTATCATTAAGCTGCTTAATCTTTCATTTTGGATGCTGTCCCTGGTAGTATTGACCTAGTAAATAGTATATTTAATTTTTCTAATTCTTGTACACAAACTTGTCAAACAATTTAAAGTTCTGTACTAAGCTCCCTGTTTAATTTCAGGTAGTCAAGGATCTAGGCCCTGCATATCTGTTGAGATAAAGGTATTTCTCCTCTATGTCACACATTATTGTTCTTTGGTTTATTTTTCTCCCATTAAAGAATACCTCAATTTAAATTGAATATCTCTATCTACCTGCTTTTCCTTCCTCTCTCTTTCACTTGGTTGTAACATTTTAACTTTTTTTCTTAATTTTTTTCTTCCCATAATGTAGCCCAAATGCGGATTTCTTCCACTTTCTAGATTCATCTCTGAAGAAAATGCTATCAAAAGGAGCATAACTCGATTTGAAATGCACCAAGCTCTAAAATTGCATCAAGGTGGGGTACGTCTCACAAAATTTAACCTTGGATGGTGGTCTAGTAGCTACATAGTGCATATTTCCTGTTGTCATATCTCTAGCCTCAACATTTAATCATTTATCTTTTAATTGATGTTATAACACTCAATATCCGTATTTTTTTAAGCATTAAATATGCGTTAGAAAATTTCCAATATGTTTGCAGATATCACAGCGAAGTGAATACAATCCGCTTGATCTGTTTTCCGGATCCAAGCAAAGAATTTATAAAGCTATCAAGGATCTCTTCACTACTCCTCAAAACAATTTTCGTATATTTTTGAATGGCTCTCTCGTACTTGGAGGATTGGGAGGTGGTGCAGAAAACACAGATGCATGTATTGCTAAAGCATTTGAAGATGAACTTAAGTCAGTCATTCAAGCCGATGATGGTCTTTGTACAGAGAACTTATTTACTCTTGTTACTGAGGCTGTGCATAATTCAGGTATCCTTGATCAGCTCCTGGAGGTTCAGAAGTTTGATAGTGTTGACATAGAAGGAGCTATCCATGCATATTATGACCTTACTTCTCAACAGTGCATGGTGTGTAGAGAATTGAGTGATGAACAGGCAAAAAGATATACCTCTTTGCATTCTTCTTCTTTGGATGAAAGCTTGAGAATTGTAAAGGACTACCTGATAGCAGCAACTGCCAAAGACTGCAGTTTGATGATATGTTTTAGACCAAGGAAAAAGGAGGATTCTGGATCTGTGTACAATAGTTTATATCTTGAATCCACTAAGCAAGCCTTTGATTTTAAGGTAGGCCGAACTTTACATTTATTATTATTGGTTTCAGTATTTAGTGTACGGTGCTTCGCATGAATATGTTCAGTTCATTTTCTATGGGTAGATTTTGGCCCTGCTTGGGGATGTTGTGGCTTCTCAAAAGCTGTTGTCCTGTAGGTGTTGTGGCTTCTCAAAAGCTGCTGTCCTGTAGGTGCTGTGAAAAGCTACTGTATTTGTTTGGTGAAATTGATATAACATATCTGAATTGCATCTTAGTAAATAATGTGTTTGCTAAAAGTTATAGTACAACTGCTCCAAGTATCTGAAGTTACAAGAAACAGATGTTATAAAATTTGATAGGTACAATTTTAAATTAGGTATTTCATACTTTTGTAGCCACAGCAGCTTTGAAGCGCATCCCCACTATAGTGCTTCTCTCAAAAAATTGTGGTTTTTAAAAGACACTATCATAAAAAATTTATGGGAAATAGATATATCATGTTGTAGGAAATTGGTTGTGTCATGTTATAGACACAACCAATGTGGACCCCGCCACTTTCTTTTCTTTTCTTTTTATTTTAAAAGTGGTGGGGTCCACATTGGTTGTGTCTATAGCATGACACAACCAATTTCCTACAACATGATATATCTATTTCCCAAAATTTATCTGATAAATTTGTGACATTTTGTTGAAAAGGAAAAGAACCAGGCCAGGCATTTCCAAATGTGCCTTAACGTATGCATAGGCATGACCTATGATTATTTGGTAAAAAGGATTTCAAATTTTTTGAACCCCTTCATCTGTCAGTCCTTTCCTTTTGGATGTCTGAACTTTTGAACAAGCTATTCCTAACTCATGATTTCATGGTCGATTTTTTGGGTACTTTATTTAACTTGCATTACTTGAGAAAATAGTTCTTAATATCTTGTAGTCATTGCAATAATATTTCTTTTATTAAAGGAAAAGCAATAATAACATGCAAAAGTTTTCTGCTTGGATATCATATATGATATAGTTCTGAATTATTGTCTCCTTTAGCCATATGAAAGGACATTATTTCCATATTAAAGATTCTATTCTTTTTTATCTTTATCTACAAAAAAGAATTACAGAGGCTTGTGACGTTGAATATCTTAGTTTGGTTGCAATTTGATCTGTATTAGGTGTATTTTATTGACCTCGATTTAAAGCGTTTGAGTAAAATGGAAGACTACTACGAGTTAGATAAGAAGATAGTGAACTGCTACAAACAAATGATCAAAATGGATCAAGGAAGAAATGAAGTGACAAACTTTCCGGCATTTAGAGCTGCATATTGAGATTTAATAGCTTTCAGTTTGATAATGTTATTTTCTTCCTCCCAAAATGTTGTTGTAATACTAGTTTAGAGGTGAAGATGGAAACTCTTTGTATTTTGCTTCATTACCCTCGTCACCTGCGATACTACGCTTCTACTTTCAATTTTCTGTAAGTTGGGGCTGTCAGATTCCCGGTTTTATGAAATTGTGTTTAAATTTGTATTATCTTTCTGTTCCTTTTATTATTTGTTGCCTCCTGATATATGATATCTAATATAAAGATAATATTTTTTACCATGTTTAGTGTTGATATTTTGAGAACGAGCCTGACACATTGGTAAAGGTGTTTCTTTATGACCGAAAGATTTCATATTCAAATATAATAAACAGTCTCTTTCTTGCAAAAATACGAAGGTTGCGTCCAATATTTCTCACCCCCTACGCAGAAGGTTTGATGGAGAATTGTTTATATTTAGTATTGGTATTCTCCATGATGGATTGGTTTGTCTTATTTGTTGTTAATGATAAAGCCTCTAGTATTATTTCTAATATCTAGTTTATAGATATGTGGCCTACTGCAACTCGGTTTTATTTGATCCATTATGAAATATTTGAGCACCACTAATATATACTGACTGAGATAATAGATGTAACATTGCAAGGGTTGGTAAGGGGCATGAAGTGATTGCCGGTGCAAAAGAGGCACGGAAAATGAGCGATTTATGCCAAATCTTGCAGTTAGGGGATATATGAATGAATCGAATCAACAATAAAAAAAAGGATTCCAGAGACTGTGCTGGTATGGAACGATACAGTTCAGGATAACTTATAAGAATTAATTGGTACTACTATACTAAAAAAATGCATCTACTTTTCAGTAGCCCGGAACGGAAGAACTATATAAATAAGCGTGCTTAACTTGGAGCAATTCTAGGATGGGTGATCTCTTGGGAAGTTTTTCCATATGTGTAAGTGAGGACAAAGCACGCTGAAAAGTCTAGTGTTAGTTTGTGAGGACAATCATTGATCCTTAAAGCGGTCGGGCATTACAAGTGCTATTTTCCAAGGATGTGTGAGTGAGGACAAAATACTATGAAAAGTCTCGTGTTAGTTTGTGGGGACAGTCATTGTTCCTTGCAAGTTGTCGGGCATTACAAGTGGTATCAGAGCAGAGCCTCTCTCCAAGTACGGTGTGGTTCGAGGACGAACCAGGCGGAAGCTAGTGGGTATGTAACATCCCAAGAACTGGTAAGGGCAAGGAGTGATCGCCGATGCAAAAGAGGCACGGACAATGAGCGGCTCATGCCAAATCTTGTAGCTGGGGTACATAAATGAATCGAATCAACACCAGAAAAAGAAGAATTCCAGAGACTATGCTGGTATGAAATGGTACAGTTCAGGATAGCTTATAAGAATTAATTGGTACTACTGTACTAACAAGATGTATCTACTTTTCAGTATCCCGGAACGGAAGAATTCTATAGTTAAGCGTGCTTGACTTAGAGCAATTCTGGGATGGGTGACTTTCTGGGAAGTTTTTCTCGAAAGTGTGAGTGGGGATAAAGCACGCTAAAAAGTCTCGTGTTAGTAAAAGTCTCGTGTTAGTTTGTGGGAACAATTATTGATCCGTTAGTTTGTGGCACAGTCATTGATCTTTAAAGCGGCCGGAGATTATAATAGAACTGTAGAGAGAGAGAGAGATGTTTAGTTCTACACAATTGAGTTTGCTATTGGTTTGTGGAAGCTTGTTTTTTATTATAAATCCTCTCAGTATTATTTCTTTCGTCAAGTCTATAGATCTGTGGCCTACTACTCAGTTTCATTTGATCTGTTATGAAATGTTTTAGCACCACTAATATATACTAACCGAGATAATAGAATAGGGGGTTTCATCTCTTAATCAAGAGGCAAATGTAAAAGGGGAGATGTTGAGTTCCACACATCTGAGTTAATAAATGCATATGCGACATCCTTGGATTCTGACGTTCATATGGAGGTGTTATGGATATGAATATCATATCCCAACTACCTACCTAGGAATCTATTAAGAGATAGAGCCACCAACATCTCAACAACTCTAAATAGTCAAAGGGTACAAGATAAGGATCACATCCCAACAGAAAGGGAGTTGAATCCAGTGCAATTGGGGGAGCTCAAAAGGCCCAAGTCTAAGAAGGAAATCCTTATAAATAAGAGCCTAAGGATCCCAGGTAAACACTTCTAACCTATTTACGAATACTGCTCACACTGTGCACACACCCACCCCTTGGCTATAAGCCTATTGCTTATGCGCAGTGATTGGGACCTCGGCTATAAGCCTAGTATACACCTGATATACATTATCTCTGAGCGCATACCTCACGGTATAGCAATACGCTCTATCCAGGACCTAACATTGGCGCCGTCTGTGGGAAACGATAAATTTTGATTCCCATTCCACAATGACAAACACCCGTTCGATGTCCAGCACTGCCCAAATGCCGCCACATCAATCTCAGCCTCAGCCTTATGGTATGCCGTCACACCAACCTGCATTGGAACAACTCCAATCAGCCGCGACCCCTGTGCTAGTAGAGGTCCAAGTCGGCGAGGTCGGCACTCAAGAACTCAGCCCAACACGACAGCGGGCCCAGTGCGCCCACCTCCACATAGTGAACAATCCAGGGACATAACCATTGTGGCCATGAATGCGATCCTCCAAAGGATGCAGGAGATGGAGAACAAATTCTTGGCTAAACAAGGGCTGAATGCCCAAAGGATGGAGGTGCTGGAGGCTGAGCTGTGAAATTAAAACCTCGTGGGACGAGCTGGAGGAGCAGGTCGAGGTGGAAGAGAAGGCCGAGGTGGATGCGCAGGCCAGGCTAATGAGCCGCAACATCAAAACGCGGCCACGGCAGAAGGAAATATGCAGAATCCCTGCCATGACAACCACCAGGAGGGCGGAGGACCAGTCAACAACCAAAGAGATAATTATCTCCTTGATGAGGAGGTTAACGATAGCCCATTCACTGAAAGGCTCATGAACTTGGCAATATCGCCGAGATTCAAGAGTGTCAAGATACCACCGCACGACGGAAGTCAAGACCCGGAGGCCCATTTAGAGGCTTTCAAGACCGAAATGTTGTTCAATGGGATAACTGGACCTATCAAGGCCAGAATCTTCGCGACGACGTTAACAGGCCAGGCAATGGCCTGGATAACCAGGCTTCCCAGGAACTCGATTGACTCGTTCGAGGACCTAGCCCAAACTTTTCGGTTGAATTTCGCAACAAGCAAGGCGCATCCAATGCTGGCCTACGCCTTGGGAAGAATCCAACAAAAGGAGAATGAATCATTGAGGAAATACCTCGATAGGTTCAAAGATGCTGCCCTAAAGGTTCGAAATTTAATTGAGCCAGTACACTTGCATCTGATCATCTCGGGATTAGATGGCGATTCTCCACTGGCAAAGTCAATTTACAAGAAACTGGTCAATGACCTGGAGGAGTTCCGACGAAGGTCGGACAAGTACATTGACGTGGAGGACATGCAGAAGGCTTATGGGGAATCCAGAGGTCGAAGCCCGAATCACAGGAGTCCAAGCAAGAAAAACAAAGACTGGGATCAACGAGGGGCGAAGAAGGGAAAAGACACTCGGGATAATAGGTCGGATGACCGATCCCCAAGGAGCAAATATGATGATTACACGCCTTTGAACATGTCCAGGTATAGGATATGGAAAGAGGTGGCCCAGACTGAAATGCGCAATGTCGAGAGACCTCGACCCCTGAAGGCCAAGAGTGGATTGGATAGAAACAAATACTGCGCTTTTCATGACCAGAACGGTCACATCACGGATGACTGTTGGGACCTCCGAGATGCCATCGAAAAACACATCAGAGAGGGGAAATTGAAACAATACATCATCAGAACTCAGGGCAAGAAGAATAATAAGCGAAGGCGGAGAAGCTGGAGCCTAAGTCAGAGCCCGAAGAGAGAGGATAGAAAGGATCAGAGACAAGACCGCCCTACAAAGGGCAAAGAGGTCGAAGATAAAGATGAGGTTTTTTAGGAAGCCGAATTTGAGTGCAACGTGATAAGCAGAGCTCTGGGTGGAGGAGGAGACACGGCCAACGCAAGAAGAAAGTACTTGAAGAAGGTCATGTCAGTAATAGACAGGCCAACCATCAAAGGGAAAGCCAACAATTCTACCCCCTCCCCCCTCCAAGATTGTTCTTCACTTAGGAGGAACTAGAAATGGTTGTACCCAGACACACTGACGGCTTGGTGATCACTGGAGTGCTAGTCAATTGCCGGGTTAAGAGAATCTTTATTGATCACGGGAGCTCGGCAGACATACTTCTCTGGGACGCTTTTCAAAGGATGAACCTGGACGAGAAGGACTTGAAACCATGCATCACCGAGCTGGTCGGATTCAATGGAGCGTCATCCCCCCCAAAGGGCTACATTGACTTGAAGCTGACCTTAGGCACGAAGGACTCATTCCGAGCTGGTAAGGTTCGTTTCGTCGTGGTAGACACCTCGTCGTCCTACAATGTGATCATTAGCTGACCTACAATACACGACTGGGACATGTTGATCTCCACCAAGCATCAAGCCCTAAAGATGTCGGGGGGAAAGAACGAAGTTATCACCATAAGAGGGGATAAGAAAGAATCCAGGGAGTGCTACTATGAGACCCTACGAGTAAATCAAGGAGGCTCGTCCTCTCCCCCTCGGCACAAAAATTGAGGAGGTAAGGACCAATCTCTACACCCATGTGGAAACGAAGTAAACTTGGTGGAGTTGGACATGAGGGAGGAGCTCCAAGCCCTTCGTCCAGAACCCCAAGGAGAGCTGGAAGACGTCAGCATTAGGAAGGATGGAAAAGGGCACACTAAGGTGGGAAAGGGCCTTGAAGACGAGTTCAAAAGGGAGCTGGCCGCTTTCCTAAGTGAAAACTTCGACGTGTTTACATGGAAGGCTTCAGAGATCCCGGGAATAGACTCGGCTTTCTGCTGTCACAAGCTCTCTATGTACCCGGGATCGAAGCCAGTGTCCCAAAAGAAGAAGAAGATAGGATCTGACCGACGTCAGGCTTTGAACGAACACGTGGACGAGCTGTTGGAGGCCAGTTTCATCAGGGAAATACAATACACCACCTGGTTGTCCAACGTGGTGATGGCGAAGAAACCGAGTGGGAAGTGGAGAATTTGCGTGGACTACACCGACCTCAATAAGGTCTTCCCGAAAGATTCGTACCCGATGCCAAACATTGACCAGCTAGTTGACAATTCGTCAGGATTTCAGCTACTATCTTTCATAGACGCATACTCCGGGTATAACCAAATCCCGCTACACCCCGATGACCACGAGAAGACCTCGTTCATCTCGGAAAAAGGAAACTTTTGCTACAACGTCATGCCTTTTGGCCTCAAGAATGCAGGGGCAACCTACCAACGCATGATGAACCGTGTTTTCCAAGATCAAATTGGGAGAAACCTAGAGGTGTACATCGACGACATGATCGTCAAGTCAGCGCATATAACTACACATATAGCCGACCTCAGGGAAACATTCGAGCAACTAAGAGCTCGAAAGACCATATTGAACCCGGCCAAATGCGCCTTCGGAGTACCAGCTGGAAAATTCTTGGGCTTCATGCTCACCAACCGGGGAATTGAGGCCAACCCTGACAAATGCAAGGTCGTCCTCGAGATGAAGCAACCAGAAAGCAAGAGAGAAATCCAACAACTCACGGGTCGCCTTGCGGCCTTAACAAGATTTCTGTCCAAGTCGACAGAAAAGGCTTTGCCTTTCTTTAAGCTCCTTAAAAAAGAGGCAGAGTTCGGATGGGGGGAAGAATGCAAAAGGGCATTTGAAAATATAAAGAGTTGCTTGGCCACCTCCCCCCCCCCGTACTGTCCAAGCCAGAGCCCGGAGAAACATTGATCTTATACCTTTCTGTGGGCGAATAGGCCATCAGCGCCGCTCTGGTAAGGGAGACCGACAAATCACAACAGCCGATCTACTTCGTAGGCCGGACGCTGCAAGGACCTGAACTCTGTTACCAGAAGCTCGAAAATGTGGTGTTTGCTCTCCTTACCACGGCAAGGAGACTCCGACCTTACTTCCAAGTGCACCAAGTAGTCGTGAGAACCAACCAGCCCATCAGGCAAGTATTACACAAGCCGGATCTAGCTGGGAGGATGATTAACTGGGTTGTCGAGCTCTCCGAGTTCGACATTTCATACGAACCTCGGTAGGCAATCAAGTCTCAGGCGCTGGCCGATTTCATCTTGGAGTTAACCCCGTCCAAAGAAAAGAGAGAAGGGAATGAAGATCTCTGGACGATATACGTCGATGGATCCTCAAACTCTAAAGGGAGCGGAGCTTGGGTAATAATTGAAAGCCCGGAGGGAGTGTCCATTGAACATTCACTTCACCTAGCATTCCCAACCTCAAATAACCAAGCTGAATATGAGGCTTTCATATCAGGGATTGTGCAAGCAAAGGAGCACGGAGCAAGAAGGATAAAAATCCTCAGTTATTCGCAACTGGTAACTTCACAAGTTGAAGGAAAATATCAAGCTAAGGGACCTCTCATGATGAAATATCTCCAACAAGTCAAGGAGTTGTTGGCCGAATTCGACGAGGTAATAATCCAGTATATACCCCGAAATGAAAACAACAGGGCAGACATCCTGTCAAAGCTCGCCAGCTCGAATGGATCGGGAAATCACCGAACCGTGATACAGCAAAGCATCTTAGAGTCAACCTGCATTATGGTCTTAACCGCGGCTGAGGATTGGACAAGGCCAATAGTGGCCTACTTGGAAAAGGGGTCCTGCCAGGCGAGACACAAGAGGCCAGAAAACTTGTTAAGAACTCGGCCTGCTTCACCATAGTAGAAGGGCAACTGTACAAAAAGGGCTTCTACACACCCATGCTGAAATGCCTAAATAAAAATGAAGCTGAATATGCGTTGGCCGAGATCCATGAAGGCATAAATGGACATCACATGGGAGGAAAAGCCCTAGCCAGGAAGGCACTGATGGCAGGATATTACTGGCCTACTATGGAGGCAGACGCGAAGGAGCACGTCAAAAGGTGCGAACAATGTCAGAAGCACGCGCTCATCCTTCGTGCACCCCCTGAAGAGCTGCAAACTATCACGACACCATGGCCACTCTTCAAATAGGGGATGGACCTGTTGGGACCCTTCACCGCGGATGGAGGACAGCTCAAGTGGTTGATAGTGGCAGTCGACTACTTCACCAAATGGATCGAGGCCGAACCACTGACCACTATTACCTCGGCCAGGATTCAAAGATTATTTGAAAGAAACTTGATTAGCCAATTCAGAATTCCTGCTGAGATCATCACCGACAATGGAACACAATTCGCTGATAAAAAGTTCCAGGAGTTAATGACCGACTTCAAGATCACACATCAGTTTGCATCAGTGGAACATCCTCAGACCAAAGGACAAGCCGAGTCTGCTAACAAGGTGATTGTCAACGGGCACAAGAAAAGGTTGTTCGATGCCAAAGAAAATTGGGTGCAACAACTACACCTCGTCTTGTGGGGTTACAGGACAAGCACCCAATCCGCCACTGAAGAAACCCCCTTCAAGCTGACATATGGATGCGAGGCCACGATTCCGTAGAAATCGGCGAACCATCCTGTAGGAGGGTACAGAGATTACAAGGAACTGAAGGTCAAAACAGGGAGGCACTCACTGTAGAACTCGACCTATTGGATGAATGCAGGGAGAACGCCAGATATAAGAATATGATGGTGAAACGCCTGGTAACTGCTAGATTCAATAAGAAGGTCAGACCTCGGTCATTTTCAGAGCGGTGACTTGGTGCTAAGGAGAGCTGACATCGGCAACAAGAATGCCAGAGATGGAAAGCTCGCCGCAAACTGGGAAGGCCCCTACAAAATCAAGGATAATTTGGGAAAAGGAGCCTACACCTTGGAAACTATCTCCAAGAAACCAGTAAAGAGAACTTGGAAC